TTCAGCCCCCGTGGGGGTGATCCGGGGACCTGAGCCTCCAGCTGCGCCAGCCTCGGCAGAGTACAGATGCACTGTACCCACCAGAAGGTTCTGCCAAGGAGGGGACCCAACTGTGTTGTGGGAGTGGAGATGGGTAGGAACTCTGGAAAACATGCCACTACACCTTGGCTCTTCTTAAGTCTTAGACTGGATGACTTGACCTTCACCAGCCTCACCTCCACCACTGACCACCAGGCACAAACATTTCTTTCCTGAATCAGACAGACACCCCACCTCAGATTCAGTACAGCCAACTGGGTAGCAGGACAGTAGCTGTTCAGCAGGTTCCTGGGATTGGTGGCATTTGGGTGTGATGTTAGTGGACACAGGGAGGGAGCAAGGGGAGCTGGTCCAGGCAGAGGAGACCCACCATCCCCTCACAGGCCCCAGGCCCTTGACTGGATGCCCTGGGACTTTCCCTGCCCAGACCAGGGGCCTCTGCACCTGGTTTCCTTGTGAAAACACAGGCACTGTGTCTTCTCAAGGCCACCACCAAACTGCAAGCCTGGGGATGTGTGCTCAGACTTGCCCCCCGCTTCTCAGTGTCTTTCCTTTGACTTAAAAGTCTGTCCCTAAGATCCAAGAACCTCACTCTGTCCCCGGCCGCTTGCAACCCACTATCCTGGCCACTTCTTCCCAGTGTCAGCCTCCAAACCAGCTTTCCCTCATTTCCTCTGTCAAAACCTTTCTCCCCAGCTGGCCCCTGATGTGTCCTCAAGTCACGTGGCACTGAAAGCCTGTTACATGATAGAGCTCCCTGCCCATGACAGAAGATGGCTTCTGTGGGGTCATACCTCCATTTCCCAGTATCTCTCTAAAGAGCAGAGATCTAGCTTGCCTGTGGGTAAGGCTGACGCTGCTTATGGAGCACAGAGCGGTCCTCACTGCAGGTTTCTGAGCCAGGCAGGCACCCACCCCCCAGAGCTAATCCTGGGTGGGTTAGAGGGGAGTGAAGGCTTATAAAGACCTTACATGAGTTTTCACATTGGTCCTGCAAGGGTCTCAGAGATGAGTAGAGTATATCCATCACTGCGGTGGACTTTAATTCAATTTAAAATTCACTTCTGCTATACACAAGCCCACAGATGACTCAGGGTGGCGCCATTCACGTTTTTCCGAAAAGAGCTTTCAACTTAAGGGCAGATTTGGGACACCTTTCCAACCTGCTAACTAGAGGAGGACTGTTCTTTTCTTTCCCAATTTTGATATTTCTCCAAAGAGAAATCTGTAGTCTGAAGGATTTAATGTGATTAGATACTTGAATAACTTAATTCTTTAAAGACCTGTAGCTGAGAACTCTGTGAGGCTCAATGTTATTCAGCTGGAAATGGGATCAGAAACACCTTGTTGACAATGTCAGATTCCCTCTTTACCCTTCCTTCAGATGTTCTGAGTCTCTCCTCCAAACTGAACTCAAATCAACCGAATACATCCTGTCCCCTGACCCTGGAGTGGCGAGGATAACTCTGGAGGTCCTGAGTGTGAGTAGGAACATGCACAGGAGATGATTTCCAAGGCGGTGGTGAAACGGGCTTCAGGAAGGCTAAGAAACTTTGAAATTGGTGGGAGCTCCCAGGGGACCCCTGCCCTTTTCCTCTGCCATCCTCTCAGGGGTGCTAAGCCTCTGAGCCTACTTGAGCCCCTGGGCAAAGGAAGCTTGCTGAGTTTTGCCCTTGCTCCCAGGTGGGCATTTCTCTAGAGGTCCAAGGACGAAAAGCATAGGTCCCTTGTACTCCAGGGGGACCTGGGGTCCCACCTAACCCCCATGTGGTCCCAGCCCCCTGACTCAGGGATGTGCTTCATTTGGTGGTACCCAAGGGCCCCCTCACACCCCTGCCCAAGAAGCACCTGCATTCCTGGTCAGGGACAGCTTTCGGGGGATCCTTGCCTGTCGGGGCCAGGTGAGGCTGACAAACTAATGAATCAGGGTCATGTGCTCAGCCTCCTGGTTCATTCCTCACTTTTTTCCCTTTCCTCTGTGTCCGGTTCCTTCTGCATGCCTCAGGCCACAGAAACCTCGCACCTGTTCTCCACATCTTTCCCTCACTTGGGGAGGACAGGACAGGTACTGCTCCAAGGGTCACTTCTCCCAGGTCTGCACTTTCATTTGGCTCAGAGTTCAGACCAGGGGGTGGAAGCCCCAGTGTGGACCCCCAGTGCTGTTAGGGCTTTGGAAAGGGCTTTGGGGGCCAGAGCTTCTCAGCCTCCCGAAATCTCAGAGCACTCTTCCCCACTGGGTTCGCGCACTGTTTGCAACCTGTTCTGTGTCAGTGAGAGACTCTTCTCCACGAATCCAAACCTGAAACTTCCTTGTGCTTTTTATCATTAAAGATCTCCCTAACTGCTTGCTTCCATGTGGCCTCTGAGCAAAATCATGGCCTCTCAGCAGGACCTGCCGCCTGCCTCTGCCCCCCACGGCCCCCTGTCGCCCTCACATCCCTGCTGATGGTCCCGGGGGGCTTGCCCTGTCCTCTCCACCCTGCACGCCGCAGGAAGGGGCTGCTCCTCCGGCCCTGCCCCAGCCCTCCACAAGCTTAGCTTCAAGTCATTTTGTTGACCTGAAGCTCAAATTGAGGTTTAACTCATTTTGTAGGCCTGCACCGGCTCATCAGTCCTCTATCTTATACTGAGTTCCTGTTTGCTGGGCCTGGATTCTTTACTTAGCTCTACTTCCCAATTTTATTTGGGTTGATTAATTTAGTTAAACCTAACTTAACACGTCACCCTCAGATCAAGATTCTCATTCCTCTTGCTCCTCTGCCTGCCTCTGGGTTCCTACTTCCCCTGACTTGTCAAGGGTACAGACACCCGCACAGACCCTGGGGTGGGGGCAGCCTTCGGCAGACTGGCACGTACAGCATGAGTGTGGCACAGCAGGCCACAGAGCTGTGGGGGTGATGGGCAGGGGTGGGGGTGATGCTAACCAGGAAAGGAGGTGAACCTAATCTAGCCTGTTCCAAGCTATGTGCTAGCCACTGAAAAATTGTAAAACCAAAGAAGAAAGCAAATGAAGAATGGTGACAGGACTGAGTGTCCAAGGACGGTCAACCCGCCATGCTCTGGAGTCTGGCTGAGGCCTGGACCACACCCTTCGGCTGAGAGTTACCTGCCCCCCAACAGACCATTTCTGAGAAGCACAGCAGTATCAATAACCAGTAATCACTCCCCAGAAAACCTTTTGGAATATAATGGAATTCCTCTCTGATGAGTCACAAAGCACAGGAGGGTCCTTCGTGTACCTGGTAGTGAGGAAGGAGGGGCCGTCTGACAATGTGGGGTGACTGAGGGCTGACAGGGCTTCTGCCCAGTAAATTCCTATATTACCATCGACCTTCACTCCCAGTGAGCAAGCCAGCTGGCTGCCCAAGTTTTCAGCCTCATCATGCTGAAAGCCAACAGAATTAAGATATTCCCCCCCC